GGAGTTTTTAAAAGCCTCAGGAATCTTTTGCAGGTGTTTAGAGTTAATTCGTTGATTCAGATGATTAGGTTAATAAGTCATTTAGAGAACATTTTCATGATATGCTAATTTTTTGAGATGGAGATTTTTGATTTTTGCCCAATTTCAAATTTACCTTTCCTTTCTAATATTTTTGAAAAGGTTGCTGTTCAACACCATTCCCATTTAACAAAATATAATTTTTATGAACACTTTCAGTTCATTTTTCATCCCCTCCATAGCCCAGAAACAGCTCAATAAAATCACCAATGACCTGACAACATCCTCCACCATAGACTTATCTCCATCAGCATCTCTCACACCCCACTAGACTGGTTGAAATCATATCTATCGTCATACCGCATTCAGTTCATCCGACCTTAGTCTTTTGTTTCCAAACCATCCTATGTAACCACCGGTGTGCCCCAGGGCTCTATCCTGGAGCCCCACTTTGTCATTAGATGTTGTCCTCTCACCCATCCTAATTTTCTAGTGACTTTCTTAAACTAAACAGTGATAAAAATTAAGGGTGTCCCGATCCGATATTGATATCGGATATCGGTCCGATATCAGTCAAAAAACGAGTATCGGATTTTATCGGCCTGCATAAAAAATGTCCGATTTAAGCGCTCCGATATAAGCAGTTCAATCCAGCAGTTCACTGCCTCCGCTCCAGTGTTTCTATCCAGCAGCACTTGGATCCAGCATGCAGAGCTCACATGATCACAACAACATGCTGCGCTAACAAGTTAGCAAAAATGTCGGCAGAACTTTCTATTTTCATCAGAAACAGAGTTGCAGCTCAGTGCAAAGTTGTCATGCACAAGTTTTCCGAGGGGGAACAGAACCGTGAACGTTTTAAACTGGAGCGACAACTACTCTCCACCCTGGCAGCAGCTTTGTGGTTCGGCTCGGTTCGTTCAGCCTCGGTCCAGTGACCGCAMACAGCCGCGCTGTTTCGGAACCTCCTCTCTGGTCCGGTCGGTGGTTCTAAGCTGGCAGAAGCGAGGACAGCACACTTACAGTTTTGACATCCTGTGGATTAGCTCTTGATGGACAGAAGAAAGGAGTGCAGCTTTTGTTTTGAAATATAAGCGCGACACGACGAGAGCAGTGATAAAAACTGCTCCCTGCAGGAGCAAGAGGCTAATCTCCACATGATGCTCAGAAAATGCAGCAGTAAGAAAGGTAGCTATCAATTTAAATAACTGACTAATTCTTACTGTTTATTTTTTGCTCTTGTTATTAGAGTAATGTTTAATCTGTTTACACACTTGTTTGAGTGAAGATTAAGTGCAATGATCACGTTGTTTTGGTTACAGTCAATAAAATTGGAGCTGTGGACTCTTAACTTTGAACAGACAATAATGTGGGGTTTTGTTTTGCCCCACCTTCAGTTTTTCCCACCATAAAGCAGCACAAGGCTGGCAGGTAGTAAAACAATAACCGACGTGATTTTGAATTGTTATTTTACACTTTAAAAGTACATTTTGTTTTTATTATGTTTTATTTTTCAGGGTCTTCTAATTTATTTTATTTATTTTATTAAATTGTAGAATGTTCTTCAGTTTAAAATGTATGTGATCCATTGGTTAAAAATAAATGGGTCAATTTTTCTCATACCTACTCTTTTTCACTGTTACCTGATGAAAACTTTTCTAAGATTTTACATTACAAAATAGGTAAAAGTGTGTGACTTGTACTGTTATGGTAACGGGTCAGTATCGGTCAATATCGGTATCGGACAATTCTCAAAGTTGTAATATCGATATCGTATCGGAAGTGAAAAAGTGGTATCGGGACATCCCTAATAAAAATGAATTCATACTCAATGGTCCAAATTCTACATTATCCAAGCTTGACAGTTCTGCCACTTTATTTAACACTTCTGTTTTCCCCTGAAATTAAGAGTCTAGGTGCCATCCTCGGTAGTACTCTATCATTTCAGTCCCACATCAATACCATAACCAAGTTTAAAGCATCAATCATCTCTGCCTCTCCCGCTACATTTGTCCACAGTCTTGTTACCTCCCGTATTGACTATTGTAATTCTCTTCTTTTTGGTCCTCATCAAAAATCAATTCATAAACTTCAACTGGCTCAGAACTTATCATCCTGCATCATCACCAGAACCCCCTCCTAGAGCCACATCACCCTTATTCTTTACAAGCTACACTGGTTACCAGTCAAATTTCACATTGAGTTCAAAATCCTTCAGTACGCATTTAAAATAATTTACAAACTTGCCCCTCTATACTTGTCTGACCTCCTTCAAGTTGCCACTCATTCCTGCTCTGTCAGATCTGCCTCATGTCCTTACCTCACTGTTCCTCTTGCCCGCCTCATAGGTAGCAGAGCCTTCAGCTGCTCTGCTCCCCAGATTTGGAATTCACTGCCACTTGAAAATAAACATCCAACATGTTGTCTGTGATTCAGTTTGCTGCAGCGGGAAGACTTATCAGGATTTGTCCCCCATAGTTTCTCCTCAGCTGTAAACACTCAATGAGAAAATGACCTCTGAAACTACATAATGACAGATCTAATCTCACGTGGTGTTGGAGTACGAGTGCTTTAAATCACTCAGGTACACTTTCTTCTGATTGTTTGACTACATTGTATTTTATAACACATACTTTTTTTTGTTTCCGCTCTCGGAGGAGTAAGACACTTTTTCCTTCTCTCCTGCCCTTCCTTATCTTCCCTGCTTTGCTGCAAGGAGCCCTCTCTACATTTTTCATCCGAAACTAGAAATTATAGATATTTTTATTTTTATGGATTAGGTTAGGTGGTCTCTCAATAAAATTTTTGGAACAAAGTTTTTTCTTCTTCCATGGGAGGACATTCTAAGGTGGAGGGACCTCTGTTCTTCTCTGTGCTGGATATACGTCTGGATTCCGATCACTGGATTCTGCAGATTGGCCTGGTGGTCTCCTGGTGTTCTACAAAACAGCGTCGGCAGTTTTTCATCTCCTGGCTGGCTGACCAATTTGATGGATGGCCGTATTCTATCAGCACTTGGATATTGGCCTTGAGCGAGCTGGACTCGGTCTGCAAGTGGTTCTATTGAGGGTTGCGGGCCGGCTGTGGTCCCTGGACTTTGCTGGCCAGATGGAACTGATCTTGGAAAAGCTGATAGATCGGCTCGGCGGAATTTGTCCACACTATTTGCCTGATTGGATTCACCACCTTGAGATGCACGAGCAGAACTCTAAAGCAGATGGAAAATTGTTATCGTCTGCCTGAGTCTTTCTGTTCCCAAAACAACTGATTACAGAATCTGGCTCTCCCCTACAACGGCCTTGATCTGTTGACTAAATTCTTCCTGGCTGGATCATGTCGATGAGGCTCTGCCCCACATCTTCCCCCACTCCTCTCTCAACTGTCTGATTTGGTTTCCTGATCAGGCTGAGGGCCACACAGAATGAACAGTTTCCATCAATATTCTGAACTATGGCTGCGCTGGTTTTGGGGACTGGATTCTTCGGGTCCGCCTAAACTCACTTACTCCTCTGGCTAATAAATCTGCCCTATGCAGAGGTTTTTTTTTTCATAAACACCATAGTGTGTCACAGTGTTGATATGATGTTTTTGCTTTTTTTCCTCATCTTCCCTTATGTGGTTTTTAGTTTTTCTGTTGTTTTGTTTTTAAGGTAGCGCAACTGTGTTTGCTGCATGACCTGTCTTAACTGCCCCCTCCCCTGAATGTACAGCACCTTGTGAATTTATTTCTGTGAAAGGCNCTGTGTTTGCTGCATGACCTGTCTTAACTGCCCCCTCCCCTGAATGTACAGCACCTTGTGAATTTATTTCTGTGAAAGGCGCTAGCTAGCTAGCTAGCTAACTAGCTAACTAACTAACTAACTAGCTAACTAGCTAGCTAGCTAGCTAGCTAACTAACTAACTAGCTAGCTAACTAGCTAGCTTGCTTGCTTACTTACTTACTTACTTACTGAGTTATAGCCATTTAAAGCGTTGATTAGCTGTGGTGGCCATCTTGAATCTTGTAGATTTACAGGAAGTGATTACTTTCTGAGAGTCTCATTAAAACTTGTTAACATTAAAACTTGTTAAGTGCACACACAACCAGTATCTACTGTATGTCAGCAGACTTCCTTTAGTTTGGGTAAAGGCAGGTTGTATCATGTATAGATGCCAACAGCATCTATAACAACTTTTTCAAGAAACCAGGATAATATGAGTTACAACTCTTAATTTGGGATTAATAAAGTATTTTTGAATGGAATTGTACCTGAGATTCTCTCCTCCTTCACTGCACTCATGGTTGAGTTTGTCAGGCAGAGCTGACACAAAGTTCTTCAGATGAGAGAACTCCAGAGCTCTCCATATGTCTTCATCAGAGTAGAAGTTGAAAGGATCCAAGTTCATTCTTAGAGAGCCTGAAAACAGCACCGGGTCCTGAGGACAGCAGAGGACACACCAATGTCAGCACAATAAGTCCCGTAAGGAAAAGTTCTACAAAGGACCAGTCGGTACATGCCTTGTTACTGGGCCACACCAAAAATAATAATAAATTCTTTTATATGAAGTGGTTTGCAGAAAAATAACCTGTCCCTTTCTTTGGGAGAATTTTCGTCCGGGCCAATCAGAGAACAGAACGTCGATTTTCTGTGCAGTATCTGCTAGTTAGTTTAGCATACGGCAGTGGAGGAAGTGAATGAAGCCAGTCCGTGTTGATAAGGCTTCCAAATTAAATTAAATTTGTCTGACGAAGCAGCAGCTCTCATTTACAGCCGTCTCGTTCAGCTCGTTACTTTTCTCCTCTCAGTAGGGTTGTTTACAGAGCACGCAATTTCTGGTTAGCTTTTTAGCTTAGCCTCCGTCACAGCGACATACGTCACGGCCAACCGATGCAATCATTTTAAACTTCAGCAGAGGCCACACCTCCAGCAAGAATCGCTTCGCTATAGCCGAGAGTCCAGACCCTTGTACGAAGCAAAGTGAAGGACAAGGGTCTGTTTTTTACCTGACTACAAAATGGGAGCTGTTACTATAAAAGAACTAGTGTGAACAACTGAACTTCTCTCATGAAGGGTGTTAACGGTGTTAACACCTCATGTCTCTCTGCACTGACCTGAGGTATGATGGTGATTCTGGAGCGTAGCTCATGAAGGCCAAGCTTAGAGATGTCCAGTCCATCAATGAAGATATGTCCCTCTGATGCCTCAATGATACGGAAAAGTCCAAGAGTCAGGGAGGACTTCCCAGCACCAGTCCGCCCCACAATCCCAACCTGTCAGGAAGCAGAACACAGTTTCACAAAGAACTCACACTGGACGTTTTACTACTTCCATAGTACAACACTGTGCTAAAGAGTAAGAGTTTAAAACACCTTTGTTCTGTTGTACTGATCCTTTGGCTCTTTAACAAATAGAGATATTTTCTTCTCTTCAGTCACATGGTGCTGCTCTCCTTCCTGTCCTCATCCTTCTCTGTTAACAGAATGTGACCCGTTTCTGTTTTTAAGTAACTTTGTTTTGAAGCAAGCTATCAAAAGTTAGCAGGAGAAGTATATACAGACTACTGCAGGCTCGGTACAGATAACCAGATCATTAAAGACTAGGCCAGCTGTAGAGCAGTGTTAGGGTTTTTGACTTGGGACCAGAAAGTCACAGGTTTGATTACCTGTCATGCCCACATATCCTGATGTCCTTAATCAGGACACCTACTCCCTAAATGCTCTCCAGGTGCTGTCATGGCTGCCTGCTGATCCACCAGCTATTATTACACCACTATTGTGTTTCCACACAATAATAATGTACATGTGATGGGTCACATGTACATTATTATTGTGTGGAAACACAAAGCAAATACCATACAGAGCACTCCACACTAACACCAGCATGTCAGGTTCTCAATGTTACTTTAAAAAGACAGCAGAGAAATAAAATTTGCATAATTACTTTAGAATGATAAACTAATTAAAAACAAAGCAGTCTGTTGACCCTGCAGGTGGGACACATACAGTGTTCAGCACCAGGTATGGCACATTCAACATGTCAAATAAACAGGCAAAGTTCCCAGTTTTTGTTGCAAATTTCTGTGTTGATAACTTTTGAACCACAGAAGAGATTGCCCATCTGATTGCAGCAATCCATTTCTGAGACAATTCTGGTCTTCTTTGATATGCCACATGACCACCTTCTCACTGAAAAAAAAAATTCCCCATGATCCAAAATGACAGCTTTCAAGATGGCGGCCATGTTCTGGATCTGCCTAAAAAAAATCAGCCTCCTCATCCCTGGAATATTTAGAGATTCAATTCTCCCTTTTGTTTAAGACATATAAGGGTGTCCTGAGACTTTTGACTCAGTCTGTATATTTTACACACTTTATACATCATCTATCATTATCAATCATACACCAATTAGAACATAGGTGGGCAGTGGGGCTATAGTCTCTTGCCTAAGGACACTTGGACATGCCGCAGAGGACCAAATCAAATGAATCGTGATGTATTTTTATATATTTATGTTTTAATTCCATGAAACTGTCGTTTTATCACACCGTAAGAACCTTATCCATGCCTAACCACATACTTCCTGTGCTGCTCACCTTCTCTCCTCCGTTGATGCTGATGGTGATGTTGCGAATGGCCAGGTCCAGATCATGGCGGTAACGCAAACCGAAGCCTTTGATGTCTATGTGGCCCTCAGTGGGCCAGCCAGGGGGAACACTGGGGGGGTCGTGTTTCCACTCTGCCTGAGGATCAGAGAACGATATGACATCACAGCCAGCAGCTCAGGATATTTAAGCTCTTTTCTACCATAAGAGAACAAGTTTGAACTCTGCTGAAAGGTGAAATGCAGGTCGTAGAAGTCTGAGTCTCAACAACAGCCACACCAAGTGTTGGCTTAATATCGGWAAGTGACAGAGTTACAGACATTTTATGTTGGCTACGGTTGGTGAGTTGGGGCAGCAAGGAACAAATGGAGACTTAATTCAAAAATGCTCCCCTCCAATTCTGTGAACGGGGGAAAAAAACAAGTGCGGGACCTTGAGATGAGATTTCTGCTCTCATCTGCTTGGGGCTGGGAGGGATTGATGACAATCCGTCTGTCTTGGTCCTGCAAATTAGATAAGCTGAGTCTAAGTGATCTCTCTCTCATCACTGCTAGGTCTATGATGTAGCCACAGGGCTGTACCACACCTCTGCACACCAAAGGAAGAGGTCCATGACAATGTAGCCCTCCTCCCAAACGGTTGGACTTAAGAGTGGCCTTTTCTGAAAAGAGACCCACATCCTGAAACAGCTGCCTGATGGCCTTTCTCCTGAGCAGAACTCGCTGTAGTCATTTAGCTAGCACACAGCTACAGGTAGCAAAAACAACTGTGTAGGGTTTAAATAAAATACAAAAGGTTCCCCACTACATCAATACCTGCCAGTTCAATCACACTGCTATCTTAAAGAAAATGTAGTGACACGTCTGAGGCCAGAAACCCCCAAATTCAGGTCCTTGACAGCTGAGTCTCAGTTCAGGGGCTGCATCCAACCTAGTCTGCGGCCCTCTCAGGCCACAGCCCATGCAGTCCGGGTAGGCTGCATAAATCTGCTGTGAGGTGAGATAGTTTAACCTTTACTTGACCCATGTTTGCATGACCACACGTTACCATAGTAATCGATTTTATATCATATGCTTTCAGACTTAAAATACATTGGGACATGTGTTCACGTCTTTTCACTAATAACTTCACAATTAAAATGTTACACATTAATAAAAAAAACAACATTAATTATTTGGGTTTAGCTCCAGTAACAGTACTTGTATTTGCTTTTGATTTAACATCTATTTACAACATAAATTTTATTAGCTAAGTTGCTAAACTTACATTTAAAAACAAATTCTTTGGTCCATGATAATTTCCAAACTATGCCGACTTCTTAAAAAAAAMCCCCAAAAACAAAACAAACTCAATCTGTTTTTAGTTTGCTGTCAGCGCATTGACTCCTGGGATATCCTCAGACGGGAAGGATACTCGGATGCATCCTACGTTTGAGATTTTGTGGGACGTATACCTCGGCCGCGTGAGGAGGAGCCTACGAATTGGGACAGCACTCAGAGTGGAGCAGTGACGTAAACATCTGACAAATGTGCACTCAATGAAATGCAGCCCCTGAACTGAGACCCAGCCAATGAATCAGACATGTGCAGCTGTGGACATTTTCTCATCTTCATAAGGAAGAACATCACAGTTAAAGGCCTGAGGCTGTTGCAGAGAGGAGAACCAGGGCTTCAAATTATATGAAAGAAAGAAAGAAAGAAAGAAAGA